TTGTCCTGTTATAAACACATGGTCTTCCTAAGATAGTGGAGGTGATATTTCTTTTCCCAATAAGGATGGTCTCATGGCATTTTTCTTACAGCACACTAATTTTTTTTGCACAATTTGTCCTCTCTTTTTTTAAATGGGTCCCACTTTCTTTGGTCATGCACTAATTTGTCTCCACTTGTACAAAAGCAGAGAGGACATTAGGTAATTGCAGACACCAGCTTAGCTGTGAGGGTGTTGCGGTGGGGGGTGTGGAGCTCAGACAGCCAGGAGAAGTGAGGAGGCAAAGCAGAAAAAAATGATGTACACAGAGCTGGCTTGTCTGCATTCTGGAGCTAAAATTACAGGATTAGGAAGAATCAGAAGGTTCTGGTGTCGTATCTAGGGACTTGGTCAGATCCCACACATACTGGCATGTAAAGGGAAGGCACCTTTAATAACTAACCATTTTACCAGCTCCTGAGGAAATTAATCAGCATCAATGATCCTGGATAAAACTGACACAAGACAACGGGTTAACAAGGTGTAGAGCTGGATGAACACAGCAGGCCAAGCAGCATCAGAGGAGCAGGAAGGCTGACGTTTTGGGCCTAGGCTTGGCCTGCTGTGTTCATCCAGCTCTACACCTTGTTATCTCAGATTCTCCAGCATCTGCAGTTCCTACTATCTCTGAAACAAGACAACAGGTTACGACTACCAGGTTAATGTATGCAATGGAAGGAAGTTGGAAAGCGGTCAGTACCAGGAGCCACCACTGGACAGAAACTGCTTTAAGAAGAATGGGGATTAGTTTGCCCGTGCTCTGCAGGACTAATGAATAAAGATTTTAAGTCTTGCAAGCTTGCAACTCAATGATGTTGGAGGGAGGGAAGGAACAAAGCTCAAGTGGATTACAAGTGAAATGTAAGGCAGAAAGTCAAGTTCGTAAGAGTCAGAACTCAAATCCAGGAAGGCTCTGGCATTTTCGGATGAATGAGCTGTAAGAGGCTTCAGGCTTGTGAAGTTAATATTGAACAATTTATTCCAAACAAGTCTGCAAATCTAACAAGCCACACCATTAATAGAATAGGCAAGACTGGATGGCATAATGGAATAAATGCCATTACATCTTTAATGCATTTAAACAGCTTTTTCTCTTTGGGCTAATGGATACAGATCCTGATTAATAGACTGACAATATTCATTAGTCTTACATGAAGCGAGCTCAAACAAGCTCATTGCAGGGCCGAGGAGATTTCTTCAAGAAATGGGGATGATTTTTTAAAGCATTTTGGGGTGTGGATCCTTTGCATACGGCAGGCTCGTATGTTGAATTTAGGGACTAGGTGTCGAGTGTGTGAAGGTTCTTCAATAAATGTTCACAATGTTTGGTCAAAGAATAAAACAACTGAGAGACAGGGTATTGAAACAAGAACCAATGGCATTTTTCAATTGGGTACAGCTCGCACAAGGGTTTACAGTATTACAGAACTTAGTGCTGGAGGCCATTCAGCCCAACCTGATGCCAAAGTTCTGAGTGAGTGAGTGAGTGAGTGACTGCCTGCCAGCCAGCCAGCCTCCCACCTTCTCGCCATAACCCCTGCCTATTCATCCTTTCCAGATAACTAACTCCAAATGGAAAGCCTTAACTGAACCTGCTTCCACCACACAGAGGCGGTGCATTCCAGATCCTCGCCACTCACTGCATTACAACGGTGTCCCTCGTCACTTTTGCTTCTTTTGCCAATTATTTTAAATTCAAACCTACTTGTCCTCCACCCTTTCACAGGTGGGAACAGCTCCATACTGTGCCATCCAGTTTCCTCATGATTTTGGCAACCTCTATCAAATATCCACTGTCTTTTCTCTAAAGAAAAGGAGTCCTAACTTCTGCAATCCATCCTCTCTACAGAAGTATCTCATCCCTGCAGCCAACCTTGTGAAACATTTGTGCACTCTTTCCAACGCCTACATATCCTTCCTAAAGAGCAACACACACACACACACACACACCTCTTCAGCTGAGGACAAACTACTGCCTCGTATAAACTCAACATAACTGTCTTATTCTTGTACTCTACATTCCTATCAATAAATCATTGCTCCCTTTATTAACTGCTCTTGCAATCTGTCCTACCACCTTCAATGATTTATGCATAAATACATCCAGGTCCTTCTATTCTGTAATCCTTTTAGAATTATGCACTTTTATATTTTCTTCCCAGATCTTTCCCAACAAAATGGCTGTGTCATGTTGGCCCTATGCCCAGTCTACAATATACAATTGGGAACCCTATTCTGACAGAGGTGCTAACGTATTGCTGAGAAATAGCATATGGGAGGTTTTTCTTTGCACCTCCCTTGCACTGTACTGGACTTAGGTATGCTTGAAATGTGAAGACATTAACATCTTGAACCTCAGTCAGAGTCACACAACATGGAAATAGACCCTTCCATCCAACCTATCCATCCCGACCATAATCCCAAACTCGTCTAGTCCCAAACTAAACTAGTCCCACCTGCCTGCACTTGGCCCATGTCCCTACAAACCTTTCCTATTCATATTCTTATCCAAAGGTCTTTTAAACGTTGTAACTGTGCCCACATCCACCACTTCCTCTGGCATATCATCCCACACATGAACCACTCGTTCTATGGCTCAAAAAAATATAGAAGCTATCCAAACATCAAAAGCCATTGCTGCAATTTTTTGCATACAAGTGAGGGAGAAATTCAGGCTCATTTTCCATGCAATAGGACGGAAGAGTAGAAAACAATCAATCAATCACAGTTGAACATAACCAAAGAGAAGAACTGCAGCAGTAATCTAGAAAGAGACAGTGTTGCCCAGAAATTTGGAAGCAATGTTTTTTGTGCATCGCCCTCCCCACACACAAATGGTAAGGTCCAAGACACCCCAGCACTGTATTGGACCTCAGCCTGCATTCACATGTTAACAATGTGCCGGGCTGGGGTTTGGAGCCAGAGTCACATGGGGACAGTTACAGGCCTTGGTGGGAATACTGGAGGGAGATGGAAGCCTCTGCATTCAGATTTGAAAACAAAAAGGTAAGTAACGTTGCATTTTTTCAAAACAAAAAACTCCTCCCGGAATTCTTTGGAGTTGGCTTTAAGAGGTCAGCCAGCCAGGACAAAATCAATACTGCAGCAGAGCAAGAGATGGACCACCTTGAATTGCATGGACATTGCTGACACCCAATGGGCTCCCACCTCATTTGTCTAAGTCTAATATGGCAAATACACCCTTCTTAGTTCACCTGTGAGCAAAAATCCCCATCAGCTAAAATACTGGATGAGACCCTGGACTTGTCTAACATCTAAAAACACTGGACAAAATCCTGAGCGCAGGCTGCAACAAACACACACAGACAGAATGTTTTCAATCTGGGACTGCTATTCAGCCTGGAAGTCCAATGTACACCTCCACTCTAAGATAACAACCAAACAAGTCTAGAGTTGTAACAAACTTTTACACCTCAGGCTACCTAACAGAGACAGTATGGACCTTACAGAGACACTGGACATTCAATCTCAATCAAAGTCCATTCACACATCTCTAACCATTGGGAAACCAATTGATTTCAGAAGGGGAATGCAATGGACACAGACTTCAAGAGAAATAACCAAATCACAGTCAGTATAACTGCTAGCCCTGATCTGATCGGAGGGGGAGAGAAAGTCCTTTCAACAGCAAGCTTCTACAGAAACAGCTTCCCCACAGGCTCCAGGCCCAACAAACAGCTTCAGAACCAAGAACCACAGAGGCTGAACAGAGAAGCTGATTCAGGAAGCCAGACCAAGGGCATCATCACAACAAAGACCATCCGAGAGGGGAGATGCCAACCAAGTGCTATCCAAACAACAGCTTCCAGACACGGGCCTGTTACAAACCAAGAGAACTGACAGCAAGAACCTCATCAACCAGATGCACTTTTAAACTGTGTTTTGCCCAGTGGTGAGCTTAAACTCCCAAAACCCCAAAGTTTCCAAGCTAGCTAGCAAGGAGAGGAAGGTGGATGGTGACAGTGCAGGGACCTCAAGGGTAGGAAGCCTGATTAAAGTTTCTGTGATTAAAACTGCTTCTAATAGTGTTTAGCCTGCTGCCTGTATAATTGATAGTGTTAATTTTACTGCTGAGTGCTTTTTACCCGTATTTCTTGTATTATACTTACCTTTTTATATTTAAGAGTGCAGAGATTCTCTTGCGCCTGAAACACCTGTCTACTGCCTTCATTTCACACTCCCTAAATAAACCCAATGTCAGAACCAGAGATCTGGAGGTGATTCAAACCATTTAAAAATCAGCAAATTACTGATTGCAAACGAAAACCCTACATCTTCTTAGGTTGCCTGTGCTTTCCGGTTTTACAGGACTGCGTGGTCTACAACATCCATACCAGTGTCCCCTGATCTATCAGAAGGGGAAACATTAATAAAACAAAACAAGCCAGAGAACATAACTTTTTGAAAGAACTACACCTCACAGTACTGACTAATGCCATTTGCCTTTTCACTTAACTCATTCTTCCACTGACAAACAGCGTTTGAAGGAGACTGTGAAAGGGGCACTCTCACCAAGGAGAGGAATTAACAGCAAAAACTACTCAAATTGTACAATCCTGGGTCAAGTACAAACAAAGTTAAAACAACAGTTGTAAATACACATTTTCTCTCTATATATTTAAAATTAAAATAATTTAAAAAAGGATTGAATGAAAATATTTCTGAAAAGAATCTGGACATTTTAAATTGACCTGGAATTGTTTCACTTTTTTCCAAAATTTTCAGACACTCGTTCAAATACCCAAACTGGTAACAAGACAAGACTTTAGGCCCCTGTAACCTTACACCAACAAGCCCAAAGCAAAAGCCATATATTGCAACAAAGTTCTTGCTGCTGAGTTACCTTGTGGCTTAATGTATAATTTAAGCATTCTATACTGTTTTGATAAAGACAGAGAGAGAGAGAGAGCGAGAGAGAGAGAGAGAGAATTAGGTATTACCTGAGTCTGCAATCCACACAATTCTTGCTGGAAGAGTTTCTTGCTCAGTGATCGAATGGTTGCTATGAAAAAGGCACATTTGCAAATCATCACTTTCAGAACGTTAACACAGGCATCCACAATGCAGTGTCACATCTGCACATTTTGACTGCCAATTTAGTTTAATGGCACGATCAAAGACATATTTGAGGGTCATAGCTTATTGGGTCAAAGTACTCTGAAACAAAAATAAAAAACAACCAAGTACTTTGAAGCCCACAAACATCCAGCTGCTATTAAAATTCAGAGTCTGCAGGTTAGCTCCTATTGGGAGCATTGCTTGAGGAAAATCATATTGTTCAGGATGCTTTTTAAGTCAGTTCAGTGCTAGCCAGTTTGGTCCATTGAACTTTGTTTCAAAAGTGCGCATACACTTTCCTCCAAGGCAGTATTTGACAGTTTGAATATCAATCCCATAGAAGCATAGAAAAATAGAAGTAAGTTACTTGACCCTCTGAACCTGCTCCACTTATCAATACGATCATGGCTAATCATCCAACTCTGCACCTGGCTCACACTTTAGCCCCAAGAACTATATCTAACTCCTTTAAAATATTTTAAATTTTTTAAAAATGCATTCAAATTCCACTAGCTAGCATGGTGGGATTTGAACTCTTATTCCTGAAACATTAGGCTGAGCCTCTGGATTACCAGTGACATTACCACTCTGTTATGAGCTCCCGAGGTTTAGTCATTACTTGTCTCAATTCCCTTGCCTGCCCCCCACTTCTCTCCATGACACACACAAACTACCACATCCCAGGACAGCTGAATTGCTTACAGATTTTCATGAGGAAATGGATTTAACTTACCCCAAGAAAAATAAAGTAGGAACACTCAAACATCTTGTGAACATTTCTAATAGTTCCTGCTTGCTCAGAGTTCATGTCTCCCTGAATAAGCTTCTATGAAGCACCTTGGGATATTTGCCCAAGTCCCTACATAAATGAATGTTGTTTCAATCTCATTATTACTGCCTTTCCATTGTGCTCTGCTTTGCAAGACAACAAGGATAGAGAACACTGAGGGAAAGCCAATATTAATGCCATTGTCACTAGAATAGCAAGCCTGAGAACCAAGTAATGCTATGGGGATTGTGGTTCAAATCCCATCATGACAGATGTCACAATTTGAATTCAATAAAAATCTGGAATTGTAAAGTCAAATAATGAACATGTCAATTGTAAAAACCCATAACCTTGAGGTAAGGAAACTGCATTTGTGACTCCAGACCTACAGCAATATGGTTGACTATTGTCATCTAAAATGGCCTAGCAAGCCACTCAGTTGTATCAACTGCTTGAAAGGAGAAAAAAAAAGGGCAGGTACATTGAATACCACCAACTGCAATTTCCCCTCTGACCATCCTACCTTAGAAATATTCCTTCAGTGTCAAACCCCTGAAACCACCTCCCAAATAGCAGTGCGGGCTTAACCACAGCACATAGACTGCACAGGTTCGAGAAGGCACTTCAACACTATCTTCAAGGGCAACTAGAGATGGACAATAAGTGATAGTGTGTGTCACTATCTGGTCTATCAGTGAATAAGGAAACTTCGTGTGGATTACATGACAGTCTCCGACAACATACCGCATATAGGAAAGAGGAGGAGGATGGGTCATTTGGCTCATCAAGCCTACTCCATTCAGCAAAATCATTGCTGATTCTTTATCTCCCATACCCCTTGACACCTTTAGCTTTTAGTAATCTATTTTATTCTTGAATATATTCAGTGACTTGGCCTACACAGTCTGTGGTAGAGAATTCCACAAGGTCACCACCCTCAGAGTGAACAAGTCCTCATCTCAGCATATGGGCTAGACCATTTGAGACTGAGACCATACCTTCTTGATCTGGATGCACAATCCAGGGGCAAACATCATCACTGCCTCCAGTCTATCCAGCCTTGGTCAACATTTTATGCATTTCTAAACTCCAGGGAATTTGGGCTCGGTTAACCCAGTCTCTCCTGCTTGACTAAACTGATTTCCCAGGAACCAAACTGGTGAAGCTTCTCTGTACTCCCTAGATGGTCAAGTTTATCTTTTCTTAGGGAAGAAGGCCTTATATCCTGGAAAATAAGAGACTTTGGGGACATCATTGTTAGACCTCTGCTCTCTTGTTCCACAAACCAGCACAGATGGCAGGGTGGCTCAGTGGTTAGCACTGCTGCCTCAGTGCTAGGGACCCAGGTTCGATTCCACCCTCAGTCAACTGTTTGTGTCTGTGGGGGTTTCGGCCAGGTGCTCCAGTTTCTTCCCACGTTCCCAAGGTGTACAGGTTAGGTGGATTGGCCATGCTAAAGTGTCCAGGGATGTGCAGGCTAGGTGGATTAGCCCTGGGAAATGCTGGATTCCGCGGTAGGGCGGGTCTGTGTGGAATGCTCTTTGGAGGGTCAGGGTGGACTCGATGGGCTAAATTGCCTGCTTCTACAGTAGGGATTCTATGAAACTGACAATAGACCAAACCAGTCAAAATACAAGTGCAGTAGCATTGATGGGAATAGCTGCAAGAGATTCTATCTGGGCACTTGAGAGCACTTTGGTTCAATGAAATGCCTACCAGCTGTTGCCCATTTTGTGTCACCCTCACCTCTGAGTTAGGAGGCTGGGTTACAAGAACTGCACTCTCACTGGAACACAAACTCTGGAAGAACACTCCCATACAGTATGGGGGCAATGCTGCACTGCTAGAGATACTCTGCTTCAGGAGGAGACATTAAGCTGAGGCCATGTTTGCCCTCCCAGGCACATTCAAATGATCTCAAAATGTTATTTTGAAGAGAATGGGAAGACCTCTCTCATGTCCAGGCTAAGATTTCCCCTCAACCAACAGCATTAGAAATGTGAGATAACAAGGTGTAGAGCTGGATGAACACAGCAGGCCAAGCAGCATCATAGGAGCAGGAAGGCTGACGTTTCGGGCCTAGACCCTGTGTTGTCTAGTCCTTATCACTTTGTTGTTTGTGGGAGCTTTCTGGGCGCAAATTGGCTGTTTCCTACATTCCTACAACGATGGCACTTCAAAAATGATTCATGAAAGGCGTCAAGGAAATGCTTTTTTTTCCTTTTTGACAACATGTCAAGTAATGCACGGGTTTTGCTATCCATTCTATAGGAAGGATGATCATTTATAACCACCAGCATGAACTCAGAACCAGAGATTTTCTGAGCAATGCTTTAAAGAAAAGAAAGAGAAAACAAATGGAATTCAAAAATCAGAGCCCGAGTGTGTGAGAATGCTTTAAAACCCAAGGTTTTGAAGCAATTTTATGACTTCCTTTGTTCAATAACAGCATTCTTCTATTGTATATTCAGTACAAAACATTGGCACTGCGATGAGATCCTTGCTATGAAAAACATGGATTATAAAATGTGAGATTGTACAGCTCACTGGTTTCCAAGAACATTTTGATGGAGTGACAATAGAAGCATTGGCTTCTGTGCAAAGAACCCAAAATTCTCAGAAACAGGATTTGCAGGGCATTTGTTTTCCAAGATGGAATTAGTCTTCTGCTTTTGACGCACACTTAGTTTTCAAACTGCTTGGAAACAGCGGATGGTGAACTGTTAACCGTGGAGTGTGTGTGCTGGGTTCGCAAGTTTAACTAATCTACTTGGCTAAAATCGTATGAACTAGGTTAAACCGCATTCTGAGAAGTGGCACCAAAAGAGGATTAAAACTGAAATTTCAGAAAAAAAAAAAAGTTGTCATTATCAACAATCTGAAAATGAGTCATGAGATTACACATCCATCTTCTTTCCATTTTGCGGTGGTGATGACACAAGCCAAATGCTGATAATTATGCAAGACAAGAGGCACAAAATATAGTGATGGTTTCGAAATGCATCGACAATACTTAGCCAGGAAGCACCCAATGTATACATTCTATACTACAACAAAACAAGGATGCCAAATCTAAATAAATTCTTGACAGATCTGTAAGATGATCCATGCATCTATTCAAAGTGATGCTGTGTGCTAGGACTGCCAATATAAACCTTCCACAGCATTGCCAAAAATGGAGATTTTTCAATACTTTATAAATATCGTACAATCATAGAGTCCCTACAGTCTGGAAAGAGGCCTTTCGGCCCATTGAGTCCACACTGACCCTTTGAAGAGCATTCCAACCAGACCTAGCTCCCTACCATGTCCTTGTAACCCTGCATTTCCCATGGCTAACCCACCTAGCCTGCACATCCCTGGTCAGTATGGGCAATTTAGCATGGCCGATCCACTCTAACCTGCACATCTTTGGACTGCGGGGGAAACTGGAGCATTGAGGAAACCCATGCAGACTCGGGGAGAATGTGCTAACTCCACAGAGACAGTCACCTGCAGATGGAATCACATCTGGGTCCTCGGTGCTGTGAGGCAGCATTGCTGTGCTGGTAACAAAAAAGGACACAGGAGGTTTACTGCAGTTCTCTCAGGCTTCACTGTTGTTCATTTGTTCCCAGCTAACCATTGAAAAGACTTGGTAGGCTTTAAGATTATTAACATCACATTTAAAGACAATCATGAAGCATGTGCACGCCAGACAGGAGATCAGAAGGGATTTGGGTGTTTTTTAGATCATAGCTGATTTCCACCTTCATTCCATTACAACTCCAGCAATGTGCTCAGACAGTTCCTTCTGAATCTGTGACTCTTACAACCTGGATGGAGAAGGGCAGCAGAAGCATAGAAACACTACCATCTGCAAGGTCCCTCTGAACCACGCACCAGAACTAGATCACTGTTCCTTCAGTGTTGCTGGGCCAAAATCCTGAAATTCCATTCCTAACAGCAATATGGATGCCCCTACACTACATGTGGCAGCTAAAGGCAACAACAACAGCTCACATCCAATAAATGAATTTTTGGAAAAGTCCATCTTGGATCCGTAACCCTTAAATGTCCTGAATGCAACAAAAGTGTATAAAATTCAATTGTGAAGTTGACGATTATGGCAATATTTCATTCACTGGGCAGGGAATTCCACAGGTTCACAACCCTTTGGGTGAAGATGATCCTCC